CACAGTACCTGTAGCCCAGGGTCATCAGAGTACCTGTAGCCCAGGGTCCTCACAGTACCTATAGCCCAGGGTCATCAGTATCTGTACCCCAGGAACTTCACAGTACTTGTAGCCCAGAGTCTTCACAGTACCTGTAGCCCAGGGTCTTCACAGTACCTGTAGCCCAGGGGTCTCACAGTACCTGTAGTCAATGGTCTTCACAGTACCTGTAGTTCAGGGTTCACAGTACCTGTAGCCCAGGGGCCTCACAGTACCTGTAGCCCAGGGTCTTCACACTACCTGTAGCCCAGGGTCTTCACAGTACCTGTAGCCCAGGGTCTTCACAGTACCTGTAGCCCAGGGGTCTCACAGTACCTGTAGCCCAGGGTCCTCACAGTACCTGTAGCCCAGGGTCTTCACAGTACCTATAGCCCAGGGTCCTCACAGTACCTGCAACCCAGGGTCTTCACAGTACCTGTAGCCCAGGATCCTCAGAGTACATGTAGCGCAGGGTCTTCACGGTACCTGTAGCCCAGGGTCCTCACAGTACCTGCAACCCAGGGTCTTCACAGTACCTGTAGCCCAGGATCCTCAGAGCACATGTAGCGCAGGGTCTTCACGGTACCTGTAGCCCAGGGTCCTCACAGTACCTGTAGCCCAGCATCCTCACAGTACCTGTAGCCCAGGGTCCTCACAGTACCTGTAGCCCAGGATCTTCACAGTACCTGTAGCCCAGGGTCTTCACAGTACCTGTAGCCCAGGGGCCTCACAGTACCTGCGGCCCAGGATCCTCACCGTACCTGTAGCCCAGGATCATCACAGTACCTGTAGCCCAGGGTCTTCACAGTACCTGTAGCCCAGGGTCTTCACAGTACCTGTAGCCCAGGGTCTTCACAGTACCTGTAGCCCATGATCCTCACAGTACCTGTAACCCAGGGTCTTCACAGTACCTGTAGCCCACTGTCCTCACAGTACTTGTAGCCCAGGGTCTTCACAGTACCTGTAGCCCAGGGTTCTCACAGTACCTGAAGCCAAGGTTTCTCACAGTACCTGTAGCCCAGGGTCCTCACAGTGCCTGTAGCCCAAGGTCCTCACGGTACTTGTAGCCCAAGGACCTCAAGGTACATGTAGCCCAGGATCCTCACAGTACCTGTAGGCCAGGGTTCTCACAGTACATGTAGCCCTGGGTTCTCACAGTAACTGTAGCCCAGGGTCCTCACAGTTACCTATAGCTCACGGTCTTCACAGTACCTATAGCCCAGGGTTCTCACAATGCATATAGCCTAGGATCCTCACAGTACCTGTAGTCCAGGGTCCTCACAGTACCTGTACCCCAGGGTTCTCACAGTAACTGTAGCCCAGGGTCTTAACAGTACCTGTAGCCCAGGATCTTCACAGTACCTGTAGCCCAGGGTCCTCACAGTGCCTGTAGCCCAGGGTTCTCACAGTACATGTAGCCCTGGGTTTTCTCAGTACCTGTAGCCCAGGGTCCTCACAGTTGTTTACCTGGAGTTTACCTGGAGAGAGTTCCGGGGGTCAACGCCCCCGCGGCCCGGTCTGTGACCAGGCCTCCTGGTGGATCAGAGCCTGATCAACCAGGCTGTTACTGCTGGCTGCACGCAAACCAACGTACGAGCCACAGCCCGGCTGATCAGGAACCGACTTTAGGTGCTTGTCCAGTGCCAGCTTGTCTATAGCCCAGGGTCTTCACAGTACCTGTAGCCCAGGGTTCTCATAGTAACTGTAGCCCAGGGTCTTAACAGTACCTGTAGCCCAGGATCTTCACAGTACCTGTAGCCCAGGGTCCTCACAGTAGCTGTATCACAGTGTTCTCACAGTTCCTGTAGCCCAGAGGCCTCACGGTACCTGTAGTCCAGGGACCTCACAGTACCTGTAGCCCAGGGACCTCACAGTACCTGTAGCCCAGGGTCTTCACAGTACCTGTAGCCCAGGGTCTTCACAGTACCAGTAGCTCAGGGTTCTCACAGTACCTGTAGCCCAGGGTCCTCACAGTACCTGTAGCACAGGGCCCTCACAGTATATGTAGCCCAAGGCCCTCACAGTACCTGCAGCCCAGGGTCTTCACAGTACCTGTAGCCCAGGGTCTTCACAGTACCTGTAGCCCAGGGGCCTCACAGTACCTGTAGCCCAAGGTCTTCATAGTACATGAAGCCCAGTGTCTTCACAGTACCTGTAGCCCAGGGTCTTCACAGTACCTGTAGCCCATAGGCCTCACAGTACCTGTAGCCCAGTGTCTTCACAGTACCTGTAGCCCAGGGCCTTCACAGTACCTGTAGCCCAGGGTCTTCACAGTACCTGTAGCCCAGGGGCCTCACAGTACCTGTAGCCCAGAGTCCTCACAGTACCTGTAACCCAGGGTCCTCACAGTACATGTTGCCCAGGGTCTTCACAGTACCTGTAAACCAGGGGCCTCACAGTACCTGTAGTCCAATGTCTTCACAGGACCTTTAGCCCAGGGACCTCACAGTACCTGTAGCCCAATGTCCTCACAGTACCTGTAGCCCAGTGTCCTCACAGTAACTGTAGCCCAGGGTCCTCACAGTACCTGTAGCCCAGGGTCCTCACAGTACCTGTAGCCCAAGGTCTTCACAGTACCTGTAGCCCAGGATCCTCACAGTACCTGCAGCCCAGGGTCTTCACACTACCTGTAGCCCAGGGTCCTCATAGAACCTGTAGCCCAGGATCCTCACAGTACCTGCAGCCCAGGGTCTTCACAGTACCTGTAGCCCAGGGTCCTCACAGTACCTATTGGCCAGGATCCTCACAGTACCTGTAGCCCAGGATTTTCACAGTACCTGTTGCCCAGGTCTTCACAGTACCTGTAGCCCAGGGTTCTCACAGTACCTTCAGCCCAGGGTCCTCACAGTACCTGTAGCCCAGGGTCCTCACAGTACTTGTAGCCCAGGATCCTCACTGTACCTTTAGCCCGGGTCATCACAGTACCTGTTGCCCAGGGTCCTCACAGTAAATGTAGCCCAGGATCCTCACAGTACCTGTAGCTCAGGGTTCTCACAGTACCTGTAGCCCAGGGTCCTCACTGTACCTGTAGCCCAGGGGCCTCACAGTACCTGTAGCCCAGGGTCTTCACAGTACCTGTAGCCCAGGATCCTCACAGTACCTGCAGCCCAGGGTCTTCACAGTACCTGTAGCCCAGGGTCCTCATAGAACCTGTAGCCCAGGATCCTCACAGTACATGTAGCGCGGGGTCTTCACAGTACCTGTAGCCCAGGGTCCTCACAGTACCTATTGGCCAGGATCCTCACAGTACCTGTAGCCCAGGATTTTCACAGTACCTGTTGCCCAGGTCTTCACAGTACCTGTAGCCCAGGGTTCTCACAGTACCTGTGGCCCAGGATCCACACCTTACTTATAGGCCAGGGTCATCACACTACCTGTAGCCCAGGGTCCTCACAGTACCTGTAGCCCAGGGTCCTCACAGTACTTGTAGCCCAGGATCCTCGCTGTACCTTTAGCCCGGGTCATCACAGTACCTGTTGCCCAGGGTCCTCACAGTAAATGTAGCCCAGGATCCTCACAGTACCTGTAGCTCAGGGTTCTCACAGTACCTGTAGCCCAGGGTCCTCACTGTACCTGTAGCCCAGGGGCCTCAAAGTACCTGTAGCCCAGGGTTTTCACAGTACCTGTAGCCCAGGGTCTTCACAGTACCTGTAGCCCAGTGTCCTCACAGTACCTTTAGCCCAGGGTCCTCACAGTACCTGTAGCCCAGGGTCCTCACAGTACTTGTAGCCCAGGATCCTCACTGTACCTTTAGCCCGGGTCATCACAGTACCTGTTACCCAGGGTCCTCACAGTAAATGTAGCCCATTATCCTCACAGTACCTGTAGCTCAGGGTTCTCACAGTACCTGTAGCCCAGGGTTCTCACTGTACCTGTAGCTCAGGGTTCTCACAGTACCTGTAGCCCAGGATCCTCACAGTACCTGTAGCTCAGGGGCCTCACAGTACCTGTAGCCCAGGGTTTTCACACTACCTGTAGCCCAGGGTCTTCACAGTACCTGTAGCCCAGTGTCCTCACAGTACCTTTAGCCCAGGGTCTTCACAGTTCCTGTAGCCCAGGGTCCTCACAGTACCTGTAGCCCAGTGTCCTCACAGTACCTGTAGCCCAGGGTCTTCACAGTACCTGTAGCCCAGTGTCCTCACAGTACCTGTAGCCCAGGGTCTTCACAGTACCTGTAGCCCAGTGTCCTCACAGTACCTTTAGCCCAGGGTCTTCACAGTACCTGTAGCCCAGTGTCCTCACAGTACCTGTAGCCCAGGGTCTTCACAGTACCTGTAGCCCAGTGTCCTCACAGTACCTGTAGCCCAGGGTCTTCACAGTACCTGTAGCCCAGTGTCCTCACAGTACCTTTAGCCCAGGGTCTTCACAGTACCTGTAGCCCACTGTCCTCACAGTACTGCTTGGCATACAAGGGTCTTGGCATGTTGTACTTTAATAACTGTATTCCTTTGTACTTCCCTGTATCATGTTCAAATTAATAAATAAATAAAATAAACAAATGTATAAAAATACAACACTAGTTATTCAGGTATTAATCTTTTTTTAAACGAATGCTGCTTATATTGTTAAAATATTTGGAATGGAAGTTACAAGGGAAATTCTAAAGGAATTAGCCGTAGATTCACCGTGACAGCTGGACTTTAAGGACGGGATTAGGTACGTAAGAACAGGGACGGGGCTAGCTGAGGTGGCGACAGCAGGGAAGGGGGCTCTCTCAGGTGTTGAAACTAGGGATACTGTTTTATAGTAATCTGTTTACATTAATGTTTTATCACTGATTTCATCATTGCTTAGTTAATCTTAAGTTAATTTTAAGCCAGCCCGTAATGCTATGCATAGTATAAGTGGCTTTGGCATGCTGCTCTTATCTGTATTTTTTTGTACCTCTGTATGTGTGCTCAAATTGTTAATAAATAAATAAATAAATAAATAAACTCTGATGGTGAGGGCTGGGCTAGGCTGGGGGATGAGGTCTAGTGGTGAGTGAGAGGTGTGAGGTGCGACAGTCAGCGTGGTGGTGGTGACAGAAGCAGAGGTATCTTTCACACTCTTCTTGTCGCTAACCACGCTCGCCGAGCCGCCACTGCAGCTCCTACTCTCACATATTCCAAATCCACAATACAGACTGATAAAAAAAAAATAATCTTCTCAAGCGTTCATCAAAATTGAAGCTGACAACAAGTTATCCCGTGAAGAGACAGCTGGAGAAGATATGAAGTAATCTGTCGTACACTAACACATTCCATGTTTCATGGTGTCTCTGCAGCTATCAGGATTCATCTATAACAAGGCCTCGACGCAATGTTTAGGTTCCACAGCGTCTTGTTACTGCTGGTAACTTATTCAGGAAATTTTGGGCGACTGTTGCTGGCAACTAAATTTTCGGCACTCGATGATTGTGCCTCTTTTCCGGTAGCATCACTGATGAACACCGACTGTGTTAGAATAACAGTATATAACAGGCGGACGTTTCCCTTTACTTTTAATGACCCGCGAATGCTGTTGCAGCCACATTCTGAAACCTTGCAAGACGACGCAGACAGCGTGCTCAAGTTTGCCACGAATAACCTGGAACAATCTATAAAAGAAAATTTACCTCAGAGGGAAACAGAGAATTATCAGGAACCTCAAAAGAATGACCTACTTCAGGCTAATATAAACACCTTGATTATACCAACCAAGGAGGAACTTCAGCAGCCTATTAACAAGATCCCGCATCAGACTAGGAGACGAGGTCTGGTGACACCTACGAATGAAGACGTGCATGAACAGTTACTGGAGGACCAGCAGCAGGGCGAGGTGTGGGCGCTACTGGAAAAGACAGTGTGGGCGTGCCACCAACTCCTCCAGTACTTCGACGCTCACCTCACACAGATGAACTTCGATGCTGTCCTTGGTACTCGCATCGCTGAAGGTGAGTGGTTACCTCTCTTCTCCCTCTCAACTGCCTTTTCATCCAGAGACCTAGTTTCGTATGTCCCTCTCACTCGCCGTTTTTTTTCTCTCGTTTTTACCTCTTTTGCTGGCTTTTACCCACAGTGTTCTTTTCTCGTTTTATGTTATTCTAATCTTACTTTCAATATCTTACCTTTCATTGAATCTCTCTCCCATTTGTCACTATCTCCCACAGTGCCTTCTTTCCCCCATCCTTCTCACATACCTTGTTCCCTTCTCACTTGTCTATCTTACTAACTTCGTCTCCCTCTCACTGACCCACTCAATATGTTTCTCTCTTACCAGTCCCTCTCAATATGCCTCTCCTCTCACTGTGTTCCCCTTCACCCACTTTCCTAACATTATCTGTTAAACTGACTGCATGAACATGTTAAACTGACTGCATGAACATGTTAAACTGACTGCATGAACATGTTAAACTGACTGCATGAACATGTTAAACTGACTGCATGAACATGTTAAACTGACTGCATGAACATGTTAAACTGACGGTATAAACATGTTAAACTACATGAACATGTTAAACTGACTGAATGAACATGTTAAACTAACGGTATAAACATGTTAAACTACATGAACATGTTAAACTGACTGCATGAACATGTTAAACTGACTGCATGAACATGTTAAACTGACTGTATGAACATGTTAAACTACATGAACATGTTAAACTGACTGCATGAACATGTTAAACTGACTGCATGAACATGTTAAACTGCATGAACATGTTAAACTGCATGAACATGTTAAACTGCATGAACATGTTAAACTGACTGCATGAACATGTTAAACTGCATGAACATGTTAAACTGCATGAACATGTTAAACTGCATGAACATGTTAAACTGACTGCATGAACATGTTAAACTGCATGAACATGTTAAACTGACTGCATGAACATGTTAAACTACATGAACATGTTAAACTGACTGTATGAACACGCAGTTATTATTATTGTTATTATTATTATTATTATTATTATTATTATTATTATTATTATCTTTTTCAAAAGAAGTGCTAAACCCGTAGGCGTCATACAGCGTCTTAGGAATGAAAAGTAATCAGATTCGATCAAAGGAAGGAGAGGGTAGCTCCATTTTCTTGGATCAAGAGCCCCTCACAGCATCAAGGCACAACCTTGAACGGTGCAATAATCAACTTATCTTATGAGTCCCAAATATACACTACAATAATAATAATAATAATAATAATAATAATAATTATTATTATTATTATTATTATTATTATTATTATTATTATTATTATTATTATTATTATTATTATTATTATGCTGTATATTCGAACTTATTATGTTACATTATTCAAGGATGTGATTCATTTATATTTTTTCAAAAATTGATGACACAGTTGTGGCGCTGATAGTGGTGTTTCACAACTTCGACTTACAACACTGTATGTGAAATGCGCATCAATAGTTGACCGGATGAGGCAGTCAAAAATTATTGCTTAAAAAACAATATTTCAATTTTCTCAAATTCAAGAAAACTGACAAATTAGCATCTACAGAACCCAAAAGCAATCTAAAACTTGCTTTTGGTAAAATACGCCAGTTTTTAAGATTTGCAACCCACCAAAAAAGGCATCTTTCATTCCCTGCACAGACACCAGTTTTAATTAATAAAAATATCAAACTGGGATTTACACATTCTAATAACAGTACAAACATTCCTTTTAATAATACACAATCATAAAAGTTTGATGTATAAGACACATGAACAACACTTGGGTACCTTTATTCTGAAGACGTTTCGCCATCCATTGGCTTTATCAATTTAATACAGAAGTTATTTGTAGGAGTTGAAACTGGAGACAGTAGAAGAAGAGGTAATTAGTCCCTCAGCCTGGGTGAAGGTGTTAACTACAGTAGTTTTGATTACTCATTCATTAGAGGTTCGCCGGTACTTCCAGCCCGGGTCTTCTCCATATGGTGACCCGGCTGAAGTAGTTTTGATGAATCTGAAGCACAGGCAGGAAGATGGTCACTGATGTAGAAGTGAAATGAGGAGCAGCAGTTGAAGTGATCATCGTTGTGGATGGTATACTAGTGGACGTTGTGGATGGTATACTAGTGGACGTTGTGGATGGTATACTAGTGGTAGTTGTGGATGGTATACTAGTGGACGTTGTGGATGGTATACTAGTGGTAGTTGTGGATGGTATACTAGTGGACGTTGTGGATGGTATACTAGTGGAAGTTGTGGATGGTATACTAGTGGAAGTTGTGGATGGTATACTAGTGGAAGTTGTGGATGGTATACTAGTGAAGTTGTGGATGGTATACTAGTGGAAGTTGTGGATGGTATACTAGTGGAAGTTGTGGATGGTATACTAGTGGAAGTTGTGGATGGTATACTAGTGGAAGTTGTGGATGGTATACTAGTGGAAGTTGTGGATGGTATACTAGTGGAAGTTGTGGATGGTATACTAGTGGAAGTTGTGGATGGTATACTAGTGGAAGTTGTGGATGGTATACTAGTGGAAGTTGTGGATGGTATACTAGTGGAAGTTGTGGATGGTATACTAGTGGAAGTTGTGGATGGTATACTAGTGGAAGTTGTGGATGGTATACTAGTGGAAGTTGTGGATGGTATACTAGTGGAAGTTGTGGATGGTATACTAGTGAAGTTGTGGATGGTATTACTAGTGGAAGTTGTGGATGGTATACTAGTGGAAGTTGTGGATGGTATACTAGTGGAAGTTGTGGATGGTATACTAGTGGAAGTTGTGGATGGTATACTAGTGAAGTTGTGGATGGTATACTAGTGGAAGTTGTGGATGGTATACTAGTGAAGTTGTGGATGGTATACTAGTGGAAGTTGTGGATGGTATACTAGTGGAAGTTGTGGATGGTATACTAGTGGAAGTTGTGGATGGTATACTAGTGGAAGTTGTGGATGGTATTACTAGTGGAAGTTGTGGATGGTATACTAGTGGAAGTTGTGGATGGTATACTAGTGGAAGTTGAGAATGGTATGCTAGTGGAAGTTGTGGATGGTATACTAGTGGAAGTTGTGGATGGTATACTAGTGGAAGTTGTGGATGGTATACTAGTGGAAGTTGTGGATGGTATACTAGTGGAAGTTGTGGATGGTATACTAGTGGAAGTTGTGGATGGTATACTAGTGGAAGTTGAGAATGGTATGCTAGTGGAAGTTGTGGATGGTATACTAGTGGAAGTTGTGGATGGTATACTAGTGGAAGTTGTGGATGGTATACTAGTGGTAGTTGTGGATGGTATACTAGTGGAAGTTGTGGATGGTATACTACTGGAAGTTGTGGATGGTATACTAGTGGAAGTTGTGGATGGTATGCTACTGGAAGTTGTGGATGGTATACTAGTGGAAGTTGTGGATGGTATACTAGTGGAAGTTGTGGATGGTATACTAGTGGAAGTTGTGGATGGTATACTAGTGGAAGTTGTGGATGGTATACTAGTGGAAGTTGTGGATGGTATACTAGTGGAAGTTGTGGATGGTATACTAGTGGTAGTTGTGGATGGTATACTACTGGAAGTTGTGGATGGTATACTAGTGGAAGTTGTGGATGGTATACTAGTGGTAGTTGTGGATGGTATACTAGTGGAAGTTGTGGATGGTATACTAGTGGAAGTTGTGGATGGTATACTAGTGGTAGTTGTGGATGGTATACTAGTGGAAGTTGTCATACCCAAGACAGCAACACCATGAAATACACAGTATAAAGTCTTCAGTTTACTAACTTGGGGGCGGATCTACTATGAAACTAATGAAGCTTAAGCTTCAGGGCCCCTAAGACTACAGAGAGGAGCACGTTCACCTAGGCTGAGAGACTGATACCTCGTCTTCTATTGTCTCCTGTTTCATCACCTTCAAATAACCGAATTAGCATCAGCACAGTCCAATATGCACCCAAGGCTTCCTCTCAGTAAGACAGATCAGTTAAAGTATGAAACACTTGTGCAGTCCTCAGGTACCTTTACTGTAGAAACGTTTCGCCAGCCAGTTGCTTTGTCAGTCCAGTACAAGGAAGAATGGTGGAAGACAAAAGGAGTTTGAGGTAAAATCCTTCAGTCAGGAGATGATTATCTCCAGGCTGAGGGACTGGTTACCTCAAACTCCTCGTCTTCCACCATTCTTCCTTGTACTGGACTGACGAAGCCACTGGCTGGTGAAACGTTTAAAAATAAATTTATATAGCCAATGGTTGTACAGTTATCTCATTCTTTAACTTATCTGTTTTGTAAACCGTTTATATGACAAATCATCGTTGAAGGTCTGAGGCTGGATAATACATTCACAAAGTATCGCATGAAATGAAAAAAATAAGTTTTTAGAATTTCTTGAAAAAAAAAAATCACCAAACTGGCACCCACACAGTCCAGTATATATATAAATTTTATCTATGGAAAAAAAGACACAAATGCAGTATAATGCGATTCTCTATTGACTACGTTTGGCCGACACAGAGGGTTGATAAAGTCACAAACAGATGTACCTGGGCAAAGGGTACGTAAGTGTATATAGTGTGGAGAGTCAGGTGAAGAAGGTTGGATCTTAGGCGGAAGGCTGGATTTGAGGCGGAAGGCTGGATCTGAGGCGGAAGGTTGGATTTGAGGCGGAAGGCTGGATCTGAGGCGGAAGGTTGGATTTGAGGCGGAAGGTTGGATCTGAGGCGGAAGGTTGGATCTGAGGCAGAAGGTTGGATCTGAGGTGGAAGGTTGGATCTGAGGCGGAAGGATGGATCTGAGGAGGAAGGTTGGATCTGAGGCGGAAGGTTGGATCTGAGATGGAAGGTTGGATCTGAGGCGGAAGGTTGGATCTGAGGCGGAAGGTTGAATCTGAGGCGGAAGGTTGGATCTGAGATGGAAGGTTGGATCTGAGACGGAAGGTTGGATCCGAGGTGGAAGTTTGGATCTGAGGCAGAAGGTTAGATCTGAGACGGAAAGTTGGATCTGAGACG